CCCACACACACACACACAGATAACTACAAGTGCAGCAGGACAAGGGTGACGAAATAGGGAGGGAACAAGATGCCATGAAATTTGATTTTTTTTTAACATGCACATCGATCTAAGGAATGTTGAAGAAAGGGCTAGGAACCGTAAAGCCACTCACGGAGGGAACAACGGACCAGTAATTAGTGGCCTAAGCACAATTAGGCAGGCAGGACACGTACATGTTAAACTGCAGAATACATGTCCATCCTCACTCTCTGTGATGCAATTCCTTCAACGGTGTACGTATGCGTGTGTGTGCCATGTATTAGTATTTCTTGTCACTTTCATTGTATGTTGAATTATTGAATTTCGCCTCCAAAACACTTCAAAACACCCCCAACCGAGGTTAGGAGTAGGTCGGGAGCAAGGTCGGCTGGGTCGAGCGGTGTGAGGCTGCAGAGATCGCTTAACAAGCCGCTAAAATGTCGCAGTATTTGCTCATAAAGTGGCCAACCGTCGCAGTGATTGATCAATAATTGCTCAAAGCTGCTGGTAATCGATCGACGTGCTCAATGGAAGTTCAAAGAAGTTTAATCGAACCATAACGTTACATTTTTAAGATTTTGTGAACTTGTTGTCAAATTCGACGAAAAAATCAAACCCATGGTTATCACAAATTGTCACATATACGCCCTATCGCAGGAAAAACGGCACAAATGCGTGCGATCGATCGACTGGACATTCGTTTGATTAAGCTTCTTCAGTACATACAAGACAATTTGGCACTCTAAACATCTTAACTCTGAACTGTGGCTCTCTGTTAGCGCTCTGATCTGACGAGCTCAGAATACACGTTTGCGGTCACCTTGTCAGCAAATATGTTCAGAAACACCGAAGGAAGTCCTTTTTACTGTATTTTTTGTTGACTGTTCACTTTACATCCCCTCTTCCCGGCTTAGTAAACTTAGTAAGTTAATTAACAGTTAGCCACCGTACTCATTGTAGAACTGATGGCTTACTTTTATGCACTTATTTGTCTTACACATACATGATACGTAGTACGATAAATACGACAATGTAAATGTTGGTACTCACAATAGCGTCGCTTTGAGATGTGTTCGCCACCAACGTGTTAACTCAGAATGTGTTTACGGCTTTGCGCTGCTACATGTAGTGTTACGCAAGAACGCCTTGAAGTACGTAACTTAATCATCCTTCTACCTATCAAGTGGAGCGTTCACGTGACCTATAGGTCACTTCAGGTGCAGACGTTTTCAGCAAGGTGTTTTTATTGAACACATGGTCACAAAGTATGCAGTGTAGGCAGAAACTTTGTCTTACTTTCTGAAACAGTACACCATGGTTCTTTAAATACCTTGGTTCTTTGTTCATATCCCTGACCGTGATGTTATGTATGGGCATCTTGACCACAAGAAATACAGACCCTACTCCCTTGTACATGTGTGAAAACGTTGACAACCAAACGCTTCTTTGGGAAACGGCGACGAAGCATCTTTATGAAACCGTTGCTATGATACTTATATAGTCCTGCGCAAAGTAAAGTTTGCTGCCAGTCTTTGTAAGGTCCTACAAGTCCGTTTACATTTAAAAAATGTCTTTCGCGCTACTCCAATTTGGGGTACTCGGGAAGTTTTGATCTGTGTAGCTGATCAGTATTGTAAAAAAAATGGCCTGGCCCAGTGTCCTGCCAGACACCGGAAGGGAAATTGGCAGTTTCATCACCGTTGTGTTGCGGTGTATGTTTTGCCAGGCTCCAAGATTATCTTAACTGCCAGTTTGATAGGCACGTCAGCCGCAGGGGTCCCGCAGAACGAGGCCCAAAAATGAGAAAAAAAGGCCCGTAAATTACCCGACATGCCCTTTTCAACTGTGGATTACTTAAATATTTACTCGCAATAGTGTTATGTCTGTTATCTGTACTCCAAACACCATCCCCATCTCACCGGTGGACTCGTCCGATGACCTAACTACCTGACTGAAGTGCAGTGTTCCAAAGTGCAGGTAGATCTTTGTACTAGTCAAACCAACGGTTCGCAGACCAGACTGGTGCAGGAGCAAACTTAGTTGTTTATTATTCTGGGTAAGGCTGGGACTAAATTTCCTTACGTTAATGCGGATAGTCACATATTTTGTCTGCTTCATATGCATTTATGTCATGAATTTTATGAATGACAATAATTCTTTTAACTCTAAGCAGTTATAAAAATCTGATACGTCGCTCGCTAATGTACAACGGAGGTAATATAAAAAGGGGATTTTAAATAACCTCCTTGATCAGTCGATGAGATTATGGCACAGTTAATAGAGATCTAGAAGACCAAGTGGCGAATTTCGAAAAATAGTAGCCTCCTTAAACTTCGATTGTGATCTAGACACGCAGCAAGGGTTGTTAACTTTGGATGTTTTCGACGGCCCGCACTATATAGCAGTATAGTTATAGTCAACAGCATGATTATCAAACTATTTAACTGGCCTGTTCCAATTTTGTAGGGGAGGGGGGTGAAAACTGCCCGACATGCACATGACACAACTGTTTTTTTTCGCCGACCAGAGCACATAGCCTTAGACTAGTCTGAAGTCCACAATGACGATGCAAGGTCTATTGTGGGATGCAAAAGCGGACAGACTCTCATTGGATGAGTTTCCGGTACCGACAGCCTCTGCGGGGGAGGTGGTCATAAAGGTACGAGTTTTTCTGACCTACTAAATGATGATCACCGGCGAAACATGATGTTCGATTCAAAGCATGTGAAAGGACTTTTAAAACGTGGCGTCAATGCGTTTTGAACCTAGATACGACAACTTGCGAAGTGTTCATTTTGTGATTATATCTCCGTGCATTCAGGTTTTGTTCTCGGTGATGAAAACAAGAAATCCACAACATTGCTAAGTACTTCACAGAGGTGTGAATTTTTTTGTTTCATCACCACGATTAACCGTTTCATGTACGCCCATAGGTGGCGTACGCGGGTGTATGTGGGACAGATCTACATATCACGAACAAGGAGTACCCAGCCGGAGACAGACTCATCCTGGGCCACGAGTTCTCAGGGGTTATTACGGGTAACGGCTTATTTGCATTTATTGTGATTAGGTCGTGAGAGATGCAATACGGTATTTCTACCTTCATGCATTTCAGTGTGTCTGTGTGTGTGTGTGTGTGTGTGTGTGTGTGTGTGTGTGTGTGTGTGCATATCTCCACATGCTAGGCACATCGAGGTTTCAGAAAGGTCCAAGAAAAGGTTATCTCATTTCCTGTCTTTAATTTCCTGCTGTATGCATAACGGAGCCTTATGGGCCCAGTGTGAAAACGATGAGACAGAATCGGCAAGAAATTCACAAAAACACACGAAGGTCTTCGATGCCGTGTGTTCTATTGTCCCCACGAGTCGATAATATCTTGTACTGTATGTTACAGAGGTCGGAGAAGGAGTGACACAGTTTAAAGTCGGAGATAGGGTCTGTGTGGACCCGTGCTTCATCTGCGGCAGCTGCCGTCACTGTCAGAGGGGCAGGATCAACTACTGTCACAGGGGACACCTACAGTAAGTTTTCACATATCATACACAATGAAAAACAAAATATCATGGACGTAGCTGGTTCAAGAACAGTTCTCTACTTTACTATAAATCGTGCACTGTGTAACAAGTCTTTAAGGGCGCGGTCACATTCATCGTAGAATTTCATAAAGACTGGCAGAACCAACCGACAGGGATCTAGTAAGACGGCCTTTCCCTACCCGAATAGCTGAATTGTGTACGATGTATTTTGACTGTCCCACGAAATCAAATGCTATCACTAGTATCAGTTTGCGACCGTTGACCGCACGATGATTGGATCATGTAACATTGCGTTTAACTTGCATCTTGGACAACTTACTGAATTTATCTTTCGTTGCAGGCACCTCAGGAATTCTGTAGGTGCGCGGAGGAATGGCGGCTTCGCCAACTTTTGCGCAGTTCCAGTCGGTCACGTGCACCGCCTGCACGATGACGTGACGCTCCTGCACGGCGCTCTCGTGGAGCCCATCTCCTGCATCCAGCGGGGCTGGGACAACTTAGGGACGCCTCCTAGCGACTCTCGTGTGTTGGTGCTCGGTGCTGGGTACATCGGCATAATGTGGTCCTGCCTCCTTCATTTCAAGGTAGGTCATCCGATGAAAACTACATGGATATGTTTGGCTTAGCCGACAACAAAAACCGATCAGACTTCATTGAGCAATAGACCGATCGCATAGCCCCGCCCGCCTCCGTCAGAACCCAAACGGTAAATTAAAAAAAAGATAACTCTTATTAGTCGAACCTTTAATTACCTTGCTATGGTTGGCTGAACTGCTAATTGTGATGAGAAATCAGGATCTGGTGCCCGTAAAGAAATCTACGTCTACGTTTAAAACTTTACAGGGCTACCGTGATGTCACGATCAGCGAACCGGCAGAGGGACGACGGGAGCTCGCGGTGGGGATGGGGCTCGGGTATGTTATATTTTTGTTTGTTTCTTTGTGTTTACAACCACTATATAATTGATGCTTGAATACAAGGTATGAGGACCATGTTATCGCTTGTCACGGGTTAGATTATTGAATAGGGCCAAGGTACGATCAAAGGTATATGATACATTGTACCTACCCTCCACGGGGCCGTCCCAAAGAGTCATGAATGCAACTGACGTTTCAGGTACCAGGCTGTTCACCCAGACGAGATCAAGACTCGCTTTGCTGGCGGAAGTGACGTCGAAGAGATTGGATATGACGTCATCATTGATTGCAGTGGTTTCCCGCCTGCCATCGAACAGGTACCTCTGACGTCATTACCCTGCCAAGCTACAATTAAGTATTGACGCCGTGACAGAACACTCCATACACTGCATATTAATTTCAAAGTCTTTACCTCCACTTGGTTTGTCAAGTTTTTTTAGTATAAAAGGGGTAGGTCAACTCTAGTACTAATATCTAAAAAAAAATACTGCCAAACGATTGAAATGACACCAAGATTCCTTCCCCTACCCGTGTCCCAGTGGGTCAGTCCAGCCAATGTAATAAAAATCTGATAATTATTTCATATTTTTCTCCAGGCTTTCTCCTGGCTTCGTTGCGGAGCCACCTTCCTCCAGTTCGGGTGCTGCCCGATCAACTCCGAGATCACCATCAACCCGTTCCAGATCTACGCTAAGGAGTTGAAGATTGTGGGCTGTCTGACCAACCCCTTCACCATGCCGACTACCATCAACGGCCTGGTGCGGGGCATGTCGGGAAGCTACCTGAGCGACTTCTCCCGACTGGGCATTAAGATGTTCCGCCTGCAGGAGTACCAGGAGGCCATCGCGCAGCTCAGGAAGGGAGACATCTCCAAGGCCATGTTTGACTTGCAGGGCTAAATCATAAATGAATGTATAATAAGTGAGTGCTGCAGAGACGAATGGCGTGAAGCGATACTAGCGTCTGAGTTAATATCCGACGATGAACTGTGTTCCTTTTTCCTTGTGTTGGTCGCACAGAATGATGATTTACAAATGCTAAGATACATTTTTTCTTAAACATGTACGTGTATCATGTAAATCTTATCCTGTGTTTTAAAGTGTGGTCAAGTACGTTGTATACAAGTCCTATATAATCTGCTTGGTTTGGTTCGAGTACATGACGGCCATGTGTGTGAGGTTTAATCAATCAACTGAAACCCATGGCCAATCCCTGCCAACTCACTTCTAGTCCTTGCTGCAGAGGACGAAATGCATACAAACTCCCCCTAACCAAGCGCCATATCTTCTGTGACTGTTCTTTGATATCCCGCTCACATGTACAGCCTGTATTATACAACAGGATTCTTCCACCAACCATCTCTAGAATTTTATGACTTTATGGGATAACTTTGACCTGATTAAATCATAATGTTCTTCCTTTTCATATAATCTTCACAACTTCCACCTAGGAAATCATTTCAGCTGTCGTTTGAAAATATCCCAAAGAACCCATAAATCAGCTTATTATTAGGCCCTCTTTGAAGGTATCCAAGATTTCTAGCAATAAAATAACATGTGTCAGTTATTAACAATGCACGTGTGTCACGTCGCTGAAGTAGACAGAGTGCATATTGTGCTTTTGTAGATCAATGATTCATCGTAAGGCCTGTCTTCTTTTAGGGGTTAACTTCGCTAAATGATACCTACGAATTTACAAACAAACAAAAGAAACTAAAATTCAGCAAGAAAAATTAATCTTTGCTTCCCATGCCGGGAATCGAACCCGGTCCTTGTGGGTGAAAGCCACAAATCCTAACCACTAGACCACATGGGAGACATGTACTGCTAGTGGCGATGGCTGTATATATATATATAAGTAATGAAACCAACATGCTAAAATCTTTCGATCACAGTAATATCAAATGCCTCGTTCAGAAAAGCCAATCCATGGCGTGACCATAACCATGGGTCCGTATATTCAGGGAATCGTGTATGTATATGGGCCGAAAGAAGAAAGGCTGATTTCAATAAGAGTAATTTTAATCAAAATCCATATGAAGTTACGCATTTCAAGGGGAATACAATTTATAGACAGTGATTAAACTTCAATTTTAAAAGGTGGATATTTTGTGGCGAAGTTAACGTTCTCATACCACATACAGCACATTTGCAAGGCGGGCGTTCTGCACTACGCCTGAGAACCGCAAGACTACGCTTGCATAAGTCAGCTTGCGTAACGCGAATTTACACAAGTGTTTACATCGCAGGAACAATGCTGGAAAACATCATTACTATTTTCAAACCCGCTACCCGTACATTTACTAGAAAGTAGAGTCAAAACTGGTCCATGAAAAGGTTATCTGTGAGATCACATTTAATTCGTTCAACCCAACAGGCAAACTGCCTCTACGGTCTGCGGCCACGGGACGGAGTGAATGAGAGTCTAACCCAACCAAACCCTTGGTGCAATACCAAAGAACCCATTTTATACCGATATGACATACGAGCCGTATAGGGGCCCCGGTTAACTAACTAGGGTGGCACCCCGATGCTGCAGTAGATATCTCATCGCTTTTATAATATAGGAATCCTTTGCGGTGTATTTCTGAAGATGGCATGTTATAATTATAATTAGACGCTTGTGTTTTCTGGACGCGTGTTTTATGAACTCGAGACTTCATAAATAGATCGTCGTAATTTTTAGTTTGGTAGGTGTTTGTAAGTACTTGAACTTGATTAGGTCTTCTCGCGAGCTTTGCGAGCCTGTGATAGCCGTCATGATACGTTTCTCATAAGGTATACATCATTTGGCAAAGGTGGATTTGGTGGAAGGAACCGTAGTTACCTCCATGAAATGTGTCATGGAGGTTATATTTTCAGTTGCGTTTATCTGTCCGTCTGTCCGTCTGTCCGTCTGTCCGTCTGTTGGTCAACAAGATAACTCAAGAACGCCTGGATGGATTGGTTTCATACTTGGTGTGTTGGTAGGGTGTGACGAAAACTGGAAATGATTAGATTTTGGTCCCCCTAGTGGCTTCCCTTGGTACTGCAGCGCAACTTCCGGTTTTAATATCTCGCGATCTGGACATGCTAGGGTCATGAAATTTGGATGATAGGTAGCTCTCGTGTTTGGGAAGAAGTCACATGAGTTTGGGCCCCCTAGCGGCTTGTTCTGGAACTGCAGGATGGTTTCTTTAAAAATATTCGAGAGAGGATAACTGAACAACTGTTTGATGGATCGTCATGATTTTTGGTATGTAGGTAGCTGAAATGATGCTTGACATGATTAAAATACAATTATGCAAATCAGGATCTAATTTTCATAATTAATGAGGAAATTCTATAAATCTGCTGTATTCCATATTAGGGCTATGAAACACTTTAGACATATGTAATTGAGAACAACAAGATCATTGGTAGATATTGATTATGTAAATGAAGACCTAATTTGCATAATTAATGGCAAATTGGTACAATTTTATGGTGGTAACTGCTGTGAATTTAATACTTGCCATACTTGGAAGTTCAATTAAGGCGAACATCACTAAACATAATTTATTCAAATCAGGACCTTATTTGCATAATTTATGAGGAAACGCTAGAATAGCCTTATTTCTTAAGATAACCCTGTCATTGGGCGGAGAATATGATCAAATGATATAATATATGCAAATGGCTCTTATAATTTGCATATTGGCAGTAAAAAATGTATAATTCGTCAGCTTGGATGGCAAACATGAGTTGGCAATGGTATGTCAGAGGTCATACTTGCCTATAACCAACAATATCATACGTTGTCCATGTTAAATGGTAAGGATTTCACCAGTGTGTTGTATGTTACTAGGTAGGGGCTATGTGAATAATTTGTATAAAAGTTTTGCTAATGAGCAGGATTGTAAATGTAAGCCATTTATGTGATCATCACTATGCATAAGCTTTACGAAAGCACTAAACATGTCATGGAGGTATGAGATTGTCGAACTCTAGTTTACTCTATTTTTGCCGAATTCTTACTTTACTACCATTACCTACATATTTATATAACCAGTGTATTGTATAATGCCTGTTAAAGGTTCCTAATCACACTCCCCCAAACTGCAATGGGTCAGTCCACCATTAACCCGGAAGTTGTTTAAGCTTGGGGGCGTTACGAAGTCCGCAACTTTGCCGCCGCTCACTTTGAACAAAGATCAAGGTCGGCAATCTATCCCCTTCAACCATTTTTTCTCCACAATAACTTTGGGCACCTTGGTGCTTTGTTTGTATTTGACGGTGCAGTGTAAGGTTGGTAGTTGGAACCATGGTAGACTCGGTAATGCAGGCTGTACAGTGGGACGCCAATGCGGATGTTTTGTCACTAGTAGATGTGTCTGTACCCACAGCTGGACATGGACAGGTGGTCATAAAGGTAGGCCATATATAGGCTGTCCGTGTGACTACCATATTGTAGAGCAGTGGAGGCGTGACCGTCTGTATCTGTATAGCCGGTATAACCGCCTTTCGGCGTAACACACCAGCTTCGCAGGCACGCAGCGCGGCGGCAGCTGGCTATATTACACCGATCGACTTGTTACACCTAACCCTTGAACTTCTATCTATCCATTTCTGAGTAAATTGCACTTCAGCAAGCGATCAAACCATATTAATAACATGTCACTGCACGTGGGTCATGGTCATCATGACACTGCCTTGCTCCATGTAATTGGTATCAACAAGTCAGCTACAGCTTAATAAACTATGATACCGACTTACATAGATGCTGTTATGGTATAGTAATGTCGCTATTTTTATGGGTCAATATCAATAACGATATCTAGAATCCCGTGTTGTGACCCACAGGTGGCCTATGCCGGGGTGTGCGGCACAGATCTACACATCATCCAGAAAGAGTTCCCTGCGGCCGAGAAGGTCATTCTGGGTCACGAGTTCTCCGGGGTTATTACAGGTCAGATTTGGAAGGGTGGATAAAAATGCAGTATACTAGGACTCTCGATCTTCCTGAATTTAACAGGGACCAAACAAAGTTCATGATCTGCAAACGTAACTTTCCGTGGTGTTAAAGTTTCTGATTGTGACAGATTTTCAGCTTGACTTCCGAATCGACCCAAATAGACTCAGGTGATCGGCTTCGATTCGATCAACTTTACCCAGTGGGAATGCTCCCATATATCCGGCTCAATCCGGCTAAGCAACGATCTCACCCCTCGGGACGTGTATCGTTGCTCAGCCGTATCATGCCGAACTTATGACGTCATGTTTTAACAGAGGTCGGTCCAGGTGTGACGGGCTTCACGACAGGTGACCGTGTGTGTGTCAACCCTAACCGTGGCTGTGGGAACTGCAGGGAATGTTTCAAGGCACAAACCAACCATTGTCAGAACGGTGGACTGAGGTAGGGTTCAATTTTTCTTGTTTGTTTGTTTGTTATTCGACGTAGAGAACGACTTTCTTCACTTTGAATTTTTTAAATCTAGATAGACATTTTCAATACCTTTCAACATATTAGCGTCCCTATTTCGCTTTTCCGGCGACTCAGCGCAGCGCGAGAATAAGTTGCACGAGGGCCCACTGTATTCTAGGAACCTCCTAGAATTAATGTAGGCTTATATCACAAGAAAATGTGTCAAACAACGATGTTTAAACTAGTGAAAATTTTACATAATGTCGCTTTAAACTTATTTTAATGGTCCCCATATTTTGTTTTCCAATTCTGTTTCTATGAATTTAGATTTGACAAAAATCAGTGATGTTTGTCATGTTTCGTCCAACCAGAACGACCATAGGGATTTTTCAAAACGGAGGCTTCGCCAACTTCTGCGTGGTCCCGTCAGAGCAGGTGCACCAACTTCCGGCGGAAGTGACTCTTCCCCAGGGCGCTCTGTGTGAGCCTCTCTCGTGCATTCTACGCGGCTGGGAAAACCTGAACAACCCATCCTTGGACTCCCGGATACTTATTCTAGGGGCGGGAATCATCGGGGTACTGTGGTCCACGATCTTTCACCACAAGGTATCTTGTGTTTGTTTTCATATATACATAGGCTGAGTTTCCCTAGCACCTTCTTAGATTTTTACGTTTATATTTGTCACTAATGATAACCCAATATGTGATTTTACTGGACTTCACAGCGTTATCATAAACATCTAATGTCTAAATGTCTCCGTATAAGGCTAATAACGTCTAGGCATGGCTTTGAGGTTTTAAATATGTCTTTCACAATGAACGACGTATGAACTCAGCGGGCAACCTGTCAAATATGACTAACGGCACGATCACATTCGTCGTGGACCGTGATACAATTTTCAAGTAGGTTGTGATATAACCAACCGTCGACGACATATGGATCTAAGATAGCCTTTTCATTTAACAAGACAGGTTAAGTTTGACCAACATGCATTACTACGGATCATTTTATCAGGGTTATCGGAATGTGACTGTGAGTGAGCCGGCAGAGGGGCGGCGCAACAGGATATCTGCTCTGGAACTTGGGTAATCCTCATCTTAAAATACTTTCAAGTGTTGTTACTTTCTGTATCAAGTCATACCTGCTTGCTTGCTTAGCAACTAGTTCTGTTGTAAGAGATAACATTTGTCATTTTTGGTAGTGACGTAAAGTCGGCATTCCCATCATGTATGAGGGAGCTTCAGGCTTACATGTAAGCTAATTAAACGTCAAATCTGAGCACAAAACGAAACCAACATACTTATCGAGAAGCTTACCTAATATAAGAGTGAGGTGGCCTGTTGTGTATGACTGAAGAAGTTAGCCGTTCAGAGGTCACATTGCACTACTAGCTACCCGAAAAAGAAAAGCATATAGTTCGCTTATATTGAGCATACGAACTTCTGTCACTTAGTCATTTCTGCACTGATGGAATTTATTTCCTCTGACCCCAGGTACCAGGCAGTTCATCCTGATGAACTAAAGGCCTGCATCACTGATGAAAACCTTAGAGAGACTGGATATGACGTCATCGTGGACTGCAGTGGATTTCCGCCCGCTATTGAGCAGGTTTGTTGTTGAACCAACTTTGACTAGACTAGTCATTTGGCTTAGAACTTGTTTTAAGTTCCAAGCCAAATCAGAAAAACGTCTACTCTTTTTACTGCATTAATTCTTCTATTTTCCCCCTAATAAACATTATAGACCCTCTTCTCTGTACGTGTTGATTCCGTTCCCAAGCAATCTCCCCAATCTGCACCGTTTTGCGCTTGCTTAAAAAGCAAAGATCTGTAATTTCTTATAAGATCGCTTGTCGTCATTCCAGGCCTTTTCCTGGCTCAAAAGCGGAGCCACCTTCGTCCAGTTCGGCTGCTGCCCACCCAAGGAGAAAAATCTCCATCTCTCCGTTTGAGATTTTTTCGAAGGAGTTGAAGATCGTGGGCTGCCTCATCAACCCCTTCACCATGGTCAACACTGTGGAGGGGCTGGCGCGGGGCATGTCGGGAAGCTACCTGAGCGACTTCTCCCGACTGGGCATTAAGATGTTCCGCCTGCAGGAGTACCAGGAGGCCATTGCGCAGCTCAGGAAGGGAGACATCTCCAAGGCCATGTTTGAATTTTAGAACAACAGTTAAGGCTCGGTTACATTCATCGTAGATCGTTGAATGATATTGATATAGAAGGATTTTTGTGACAGAACCAACAACCACCGTCAGGGATCTAAGATAGCCTTTTCGGTAACAAGACAGCTTACTTCTGTTCAACTGTACCCCTCAGTTTGCGAACGTACGACGATGGCACGACGATTGTGACCGGCCGTTTACGTGGCCATTCACTGAAGACACCTCTCAAGGGAATTCCGACACAGAAAAACTGACTTTAGATCAGTTGATACAGTATTTTGTAACTGTAACTTTGTTTTTACGGAAAATGACACTGTGGTATTCATGAGTAACTTTGAACTTCCCCCTGTTGTACTTTTACTACTACAATAGTGGAAGGTGCATAATGTGTGAGGTGTATCATTAGAATAAAAGAGAAATTGTGCTGGAAAGAATGATAAGCTAGAGTTGGGAGTATGCGTGCGTATGGTAGACTGTTCCAGACAATGGGTCAATGATAGCCTATGGATCGTCTGAAGCTCTCTCGCTGAGGTTTTGGGTCAACCTCAGATTGCTTCTACAAATATAGATATGCAAATATTTTTCTGACGTCTTGGTGGCCTTCGGCTTTCCAAAATAGTCACACTGGACATGCGCACTCTATATAAATCTCCTAATACGGACAGGTTGCCGGACTTCTATCTGGAAGGAGACTGGCCTGGACTGGCTTTCTGAAACGTTTGAAACGGAGGGAAAACATTCGGAAGACCATAAAAGACGCCCAGGCAGTCGTACACGCATCCAGAACGATTGTGGTCCACTTCATATAACGCGTCTGACGTGTACCCCGTGACCTGGGTCAGCTTGACTTGGCCATTTGTAAGTGTAAATAACCTTCATACAAATATTAGTTTGAACAGGGCGATTTATTCAGTGGTAACAGGAACTAATCATATACACCTCGGTGCGGGAAATTAACGCTGTAGCATTGCTAATATTTTGGAAACGACAAGGAGACACAGACACCTGTTAGTGTCTGTAGGAAAACATTTCGAAATGGGTCAACTTTACATGGAGGGTGGATATTAGTCTGAGTTTTAGCATAAACTATTCACAGCTTGTAACCGCTGCGCAGACCTGGTGTGTACGCCTATGTAGGCCAGGTTTACAGCTGGTTATGCGAAACTTAACAAACATAACTTGGTCAGCATCGTAGACTATTTTGCTAGGTTCATTATCGGTGCTTCGCAGAAAATCAAAAGGCGAGGCATCAAAAGCGACAAAAAATATGTCCTTCAGTTGTGATCCTTCTTCTTGTACATTGATATTTTATACAGCCACCCTGATCTGCCAGAGAGTATTTCCGACGTCCACCGTGAAGTGGAAGCTGCCGGAGACGAGCGATGATGCCGCGGACCGGCTGCTGGCTCCTGGTCATCTGTTCTGTTCTCGGCAGCGTGGCGGTGACAGACGCCCGCTCTTACGTCAGCTCCAAGTGCTCATCAAAGCACTGGAACAAGTGCGTGCCTGACAACATCAAGGTTCGTGCCAATTTCTCCCACAATATTCTTTGCTTCTGCATATCATGCGGGATTGGATCCCCTGAAGGTTATACCTGCGCTCCATTTTCTGCGTACGGAGGAACTCCCCCGCCTGCCCAGTGGTTTGCCCTGCGGGGTGTCTTCGTCGGAAGCCTGTCCTCGCAAACCCTTGAAGCCATCAATTCGTTTTCATTGACGGTCCTTGCCCTTACAGATGCAGGCATAAGTACTATCGAAAACAATGCATTTGCCAGATTTCCACACTTGCGGTCACTGCATTTAGATTGTAATACTTTATCGCAGCTAGAACATGCTTTCTTTTCCGGCTTGAACACTTCACCTAAGTCTACCGCCTACATGTCCTTTTCCTATAATCGTATTTCTAGACTTGAAACTGGGTGTTTCGAGGAAATCCATCTTACAAAGTTAGACTTGTCCCACAATTTGCTGTCGGAGGTAGCGAGTGGATGGTTACGTGGTCTTGTCTTCCTACACACACTTCTTTTGGGTCACAATAAGATTGAAGTCATTCCTGCAAACGCCTTGGATTCCCTTTACGATCTACGAGTCCTGAACTTAAGCCACAACCCTCTGACGTGTCTAAGCCAGAGAACACTGTCAGGGCTGTCACTCCAAACCTTCAGCGTTGGAAGAGAGCGTTCGGTCATTTCCTGGGAGAAAGATAACAAAATGGACTGGAGTCTTAACGTGGACAAAACTGATTCTCCTAACAGAGAACAGAAAATTTACCTACGTATCGATAACCTGGGGTTTTGTCTCACATATTCGACGACGATGAAAGACTTTCAACTGAAGTGGGGTCTTGTGGGCGCTATTACTGGGTTCGACGGCAAACAGGAACCCGGATGTTCATCGTTTGCGTTTGGACCCTTAGACCTCCGACTGCCATTTGTTGTTGCAACTGCGATGAAGAAACCAGAAACCAACTGGCACTTAGGTTCCTGTAACCTCTGTCCAGAAGCTTGGACAAGACACGGCGGAACGGCAATAGGTCTGAAAGGTAGTGTGGGCTTGCAGCTTTTCGGTATGCACAATACGGAGATGTCAAAGGACAATGGAAGCGATTGTATTGATTTGATAGCTACCTACAAGAGCAATCCTGGTTTTATGATACGATCTGAAACAGAGACTAGTTTGACAAACATATCCTGCTTTGTATTTTTTCTCAGAGGGGTAGACAACTTACAACCGTCACATTTCGAAGGCGTGGAATGCCCCGCTTCAAAGTATTCTCTAGACACTTCAGATAAAGAGTTCAACAATACGAATAGTACAGGGCCCTACAATCAAAGCAGCAACTCTGTTAGGATACTTGGGTTACCAGGATACTTAGAGAAAGGCCCCGACAGAAGTAGATTGACCACCATTATAGAAGAAAATTCATACATGAGAACGCGTGTTCCCCTTGTACAATCTAGTGCTATATATTTATTACCAATTAAAAAGGGAAAGACCTCTCAAAACTGGATATCACTAATCGGCGTACCCGGACTTGTAATTCTAGTCATGGTGATTGTCTGCAAACACAAAAGAAGCAGGAATGCTGCTCAAAATGTTGCAGATGCTAATAACAGGCAGCATCTTGGCCAGACAGGTATAACGAACGTCCCTAGCAACACGATGCAGCAAGAAAAGCACATCCATCATCACCTTTCCACGGATTTCACCCACAGCTACGAAGAAATAAAAGACGAAAACGTCTACGATCCCTCTACAACTCTGCACTTTTACTCCGAAATCAAAGACGAGGAGGTCACTGATATTATAATACAGGACGCAGGAGCTACGAACGACCAACTGAACAACGTTGCTCAAACTGTATCAGTTGCCCCTGCCCTGGTGCACTGCAGCCCCCAGTCCATTGATGTAACGCAGCTTATCACCAACCCGATGTATAGTACAACATCGAACCAAGTTTTGGCGCAACCCGCGGATAGCACTGACCTGCCCGAACAAAGCTCCCAGCGCCGCTCATCTATACTCTCTACTAACGCCTACTCTGAAATAAAGGACGAGAACGTCTATGATCCGTCTACGACCCATACAAATACTGCTCAAAATGTACCATGGCCAGATACTGTTACAAGGCTGCGTCTAGCCCACAGTAGTATCATTGCCCTGGAACCTTACAGTGATACGACGTATCAAGGATCCGATGAAGACCTGGATAATCTTTCTGACACGAGTGAGGGGAAAGAAACGCGTTCCAGTGGTTCCAGCCGTCGCTTTTCCTCGGTGTCCACCTAGAGCTACTCCGAGATCAACGAACTGAACAACGCTGCTCGAAATGTCCGTTGCCTCTGCCCTGGTGCACTGTAGCCACCAGCCCGCAGATGTAATGCATTTAGCAACCCGCGGCCGTACTCTATACAACATCGGACCAAGCTTTGGCATAACCCTTGGGTGTTATATACTGACCTGACCGAGCAAAGCATCCACCGCTGCTATTTTCTGCTCTCCATGCAGTGGCACAAACGCCGATTTCGAAACAAATTAAAAAACGATCTGTCTACATACCATTAAAATGTAATTAAGATGTACTACATGTCGATACTGCTTCAAGGCTGCGTCTTGACATGTAGTACCCTTCATTGAAAACAACTGAATAATCACCAAAAACAACCAAAATCTCTTTAAAAATACAATCATCTTTTAAAGTTTTTAAATGGAATAGATGAAAAAATTGATGTCTCAGTGTCCAAATGGTAAAAAATGACGTATAATGAATATATAACGTATAATGAAAATGTAGAAAAAATGAGTAACTGTTATCATCACGGTGAAACTCGCCCACAATATTTCGTATATCATAACGTAGACTTAGACACCGACACCACCGGACATTCATGCATAATTTATACAACGCTTGATGTTGAATTTGCGGGGGCTGCTATTATATTTCTAAATGTGCACAAATTAAGATAGCTAGCTACTCCTCCCGGAAAGGGGCATGTGGACGAACACCGAATTATTGCACAGCGCTCTTTAAACACCGTCAGCCCTCACGGCTAGGAAAAGTCAACCCATTATATGTATGGATTCCATACAATAAATCATGCATAATTCCGTCATCTGACAAAGAGTCAGCTACAGTCTCATAAACAAGACATGAGGGAAACGGATAACTTCCACCTGTGCCCAGACCTCCGCACTGCAGCCTGACAGATCTGGTGTCCGAGGCTACAGCACCCAGCATGCACCGCGACAATTGCGTCATTTCACAACAAAGATGGCGTCCATGCAGGTAAGAACTTTGCCGATTTCTGTCAAAACTGGGTGTAAACTTTATCTGTAGCGCTTCTCCTGGAGTCAAACCAAACTACATCGATACCTAACAATACTAACATTCCCCCTCTATTTGACTTTTTAGCTCAACGCTCAATTTGAGCCTGCAGAATTCTCTAATGACATCACTGTTGTATTCTGTGTTGATGTGAACATTATTTTTGGGTTGGTCTGTTCCTCTCAGCTCAGTTGTACATGTAGGTGTCGCTCCATATGGTGACATTCTTCAGCGATGTACTTATCGTTTCCTGTGTAGATTTCTGGGTTCAGAGCCTAGGTAACGTACCAGTTGGTAGAGTGCTGATCGATGTTATTGATGATACAGTATGTGTTACCATGTATGGTCGTAGTCGATACACTATTCTAGAACGGATGGGCGCATCGACAAGGTTTTAATCAAAACATTCACAGGGCCAGGTGGCCGCGATGTGCCCCAGTTACGGTCCCATGCACTTAGAATATGAGCTGTCAATGTCAATTTAGAGATGTCAAGTGACTCTTGTGAAGATAAGTACCTAGCTTGGGTTAGGGACGTCCTCTCGGATGGGGCGTGAACCCGATGACCCAGAGCCACACCGCCAGCACTTGCAGCATGGTTCAAGCATGACAGTCTGGTCTTACGCAGCTTGTACTTACTGTACAAAACTGGTGTGTTACTCGTATGTTTACCGGTTTTGCCAAACAAACAAAACATATACAATTCTAGACTAAAAGCTCTGCAGGTATAGATAATGCCATAAAATTCTAAAACAATGCTGCTATTGTGTAGAGGAAAGGCAGGCATCAAAATGCATTTCCTGCATACATGCAGGTAGCATTGGAAATCATACCAGTGCTTGACAAATTTTACCTGCCCCACTCTGCATGAGGAATCGAAATAGATTTGAAGTATGCACCAGTTGCAAACAGTCAACAAAACATTTGAAGTCTATATAATTATTTAGCATGTCACAGGTGGTAAGAATCAAATCAAATCATTAGTACAGCAAAACAAAATCCATATAAACACTTGCATACTAAGAACTTGGACCAGTGCAGTTTTGGTGTAGGTAGACATTGATTCCCTGCACAGTGCCTGATTTGCTCTATATGCAGGTGGTATTTCAAGCCCTGCAAGTTATTATCATGGATCAAGGACATTATACTTGCATGGATTTATCCTCATCGGTAGTAGCCCTTGAGGTCTCTTTCATCCTCTCAAAATAGCTTTGGAATGGCATCTGTGTAGCTTGGATGCAGTCACCTTGTTTGCCGGGGTTGCCAAAGCAATTTGTTTACCTCTGTTTTGATAGATATAAAAAGGATCTATGGCACCACAACAAGGTCACAAATGCCCCAGGTTATAGGTTACTCAACCTGTTTCTCTGATATTGATACTGTGAAAATTCAAGCTGCTGTGAAACTATGCAATAAGATCTCTGGGAAAGTACAATTTTTAGTGATCTAGAAATAATAGTTACAGTATAACTTTGTTACAAGACAGGCATATTACTTTCCATTGCACACAATGTATGAAATCTTGTGAAAATATTTGCCTGAGGGTAGCCTAAAGAAAACACTGATAAACCACAAAGATAACAGGGTCATGGCAAATTGAACTATTGCATCTATAGATATATCTATTGTTTCAATGTTGCGACGAGGATTTCAATAAGGATGATATTTAGATGTACACTGTACTGGACGCAATGTACTTCCATTAGAATTCGTAATATGTAGAAACATCACAATTTAATCATTCACACTTTCATAAATCATAACTATCCCAGGTCCCCTGTGCAGCAACTATATTTTATACATGTCTCAATTCTATATAGCTACGATCTCTAATAAAGACTGTTCCATTTTGAAAAAAGTTGAGGATGAGTAGACCAGGCAATAGGCTAAGTTTTACATTCTTGAAAGTGATGACTGGAAGACTTTTTCCCCTTTCTTGTTTAATTTTGTGCACCATGCACATGCATAGTTGTTACCTTTGAGGTATAATTGTTTTCGGTGTGTCTATTTGTGTGTTTTCTCGTGTAGTTATTTCCATGCTTAGCATGTGTAGACACTAACAGGAAGTTAGATCAAAGTTCCCAGAAAAGGTTATCTCATTTCCTGTTCCCAATTTCCATAGGAGCCAGGGGAATTAGATAGAATCATCGAGGAAGTCACAATAATGAATACAACAAGTGATTCACAAAAACTAGAAATATTTGACAGGCATATGAGCTGGTCTTTGATTTCTTGTTTCCATAGAAACGCCTACAGAAGGAGCTACTGGCCCTACAGAAGGACCCCCCACCTGGGGTCAGGGTGGATGAAGCAAGTGTCACCAAATCTCTCAGCACGTAAGTACACAGTTAAGATATAAAATCTTTATTGAGACAGAAAATTACTTTCGTAAGGTCTTCTACAACAGTACTACTATACCTCAGCAAACAAACAAGGCATACAAATTAATGAACTTTTATACAAGTACAGTATATATTGTTAGTAACATACTGTTGACACCACTGGTTCTAAGGTCTAAACATTCTTTGATGCATTGACCAGGTTATACATGGTATTAAGGATTATTTCCTCCTAATATGCTAATTGAATTGATTGGTAGGATGGGATTTATTGTGCATGCCGAAAGAAAGGTGAACAAGTTTGCCTTTCATCTTCGAACCAGGACAGGAAGAACAAAACCTGTAGCCAAAGGGAATTTCATTATAACTTTGAATGTAGATTGGTGCTTTAGCCCCCAAATCTCACAGAACTCTCATTGTCTTCTTGTTTCATTCACATGTGTTGTTAATGTTGTAACTTGCAATGCTCCAATTTTCACAGGTGGCAAGTAGACATGGATGGGGCACCAGGCACGCTGTTTGAGGGAGAAAAGTTTCAGCTTCTTTTTAAGTTTGGTCCGAGATATCCTTTTGACTCCCCACAGGTAAGCAATTGTTAATTCATTCACTTATGCATTGGTTTTTTTCCTGGTATGAAACAAAAGGAGAGCATTTTGAAATCTGTAGTTGAAAACACACACACTGTATTCACAGTGTCATGAATTTGTTGCTAGCCAGCACTGAGCCATGACAAACCCATCGCAGTGGGACCTGTATGAAAAATTTGCCTTTCAAAGCAGCATCATTGAAGACAGCAAAGAATTTGGTGTCTAAAAGTGATGCAACTAGGAACATCTTTTTTTAACCTTCTCCCAGCTTCCTAACCTCCTAACCAACACAAATTTGGTACCAAATTGCTACCTTTTTATGCTGAAGGATAAAACATTAAAAGTTTGTGATGAATTGAAAGGCAAAGAAAATGTAGTGCAGGTAATTTTGAATGTGCAGAAAAAGCTCTGTGCATGTATCATGTGTTGCCTTGGCGGGGTTTAGTTTGAAGACACAGTTTTTATGTTGTTGTGTTGCAGGTTGTGTTTACAGGTCCAAACATCCCGGTCCACCCCCACGTGTACAGTAACGGACACATCTGTCTGTCCATCCTGACAGAGGACTGGTCTCCTGCTCTCTCGGTCCAGTCTGTCTGCCTGTCAATCATTAGCATGCTTAGCAGTTGTAAGGAAAAGGTCAGTTGGAACACTTGACAATTAGGCTTGTATTGCATATGTCATTTTGTTTAACATCTATACCAGCAAAGCATGCTGATCCCTATTGGCGACTTACATGGAATTATGTACACTGTATGTTGTATTTCTTTCTTCGTGTTGAATTTAGCATTATATTAGATTTCCTATTCATGTTACATGTTTGAAGATAAAAGCTCTTTATTATCTCTTTGACAGAAACGACCACCAGACAACAACTTTTATGTGCGAACATGTAGCAAAAATCCTAAGAAGACAAAATGGTGGTATCATGGTGAGTTGGCAAAGTACAAGTTGGCTTTTGCTTGTCATTATTATTCACCTCAATACACTTATCATAACCAGTTGAAAGTCTTGATTTCAAAGGTAGTACTCCCTAGTATGTCCATGTACAGTGGTGTCAAAATGGGAGTTCAATTCACACTGTTCTAACTTGCTGTGTGTGCTATTTTCCCCAGATGACTCTGTATGATGTTGCTTCCTGCCAAGTTCTCCAACCAGAGAACTTGTCACCTCAAGTGCATTACCCAGTGTGCACCTCTCGTCTCAATGCTGCACTAGTTCTGTACACTCAGTGTGAAAGAGGGAGAAGAAATTATTTCAAGAAAAACCTCAAGAGATTGCACCTAGTAAACTGAGGAAGCTATGATCTCTCATGTTTTGTACATGTATATATCATATTGTTTTTTTAGTTGTAGATACAATGAAGGACAACATATTGTTTACTTCATGCCATTGCTAGTTCTCAGTCTCATCAAGGTGTTTTGTTATGATGTTTAGGTGACTTTTTTCATTTTGTTCTGTTTCTTCATTGTTACAATGTCTTGAATCTTTATGGTTAGTGGTTGGTAGATTGACAGGAAACCAACTGACCTAATGAAAATAAAGGTTCATTATATTCCTCCCACCACTAGGATGAGATATTATTGAAGGATGCTTTGACAATTCATAGCATACATTTTTGGCAATTAAGGCCATGTAGTGGAAGAAATAAAAGAGGTATGTTTAAAATATGTGCTCTGCTGCTCAAGTGCAAAATCAAATCTGTAAATTGATAAAGCTTTGATATAAAAGATGACAAAAATAGAGTATCTAAATATGGTATTAAATAAATAATCAGTCCACAACCCTTTCCATCTGATTTTTATCTTTGCATATCATGTGAAAATAAACACTATTTTTTGTTACAGTAGAAAACTTGAAACAGTTCTTTTTTTTTGGAGGGGGGGGTGTGTTCAGTTCTGTCGGGTTTTAATAGAAATTTCATACAAATAATTACCCAGTACTGATAGGGTGTATTTCCTTTTTTGGAGGGATGGGGGGATTTTAGACCGTCAAATCAGCTATACATGTTTTTCCTAGAACATTCAAATGTTGGATGTGGTTGGCCAGTTATTCTAGTTACATTAACTGATAAGGGACTTTAGTTTGTCTCTTCTGTGATTTACTTGAGAAAATATGAGACTCAGTGTAATCTCACTTCTATAAAAGGTTGTCTATTGTAGCTATATTGTAGCTATATTATACCTTACAATATTTACGGATTTTGGGATTGTTAAACTAAAGGTGATATTTTAACTAATGCCTACTTACAGAGAAAGAATGTAAATGCTTTTAAATCTGGAAACATTCTCGTGAGTGAGTTCCAGCTACATGTAGATTTGGGGTGGTGTGGTGGGGAGGGGGTCTGTCTCACCAGGTACGAAAAATGTATATGGCAAGGAGTAGGGATCAGTAGTACTGTGTAAAGGAAACACGAAACCATGTTCTCAACTCCACAGTCATCTACATGTATAAAGCACACAACTTTTGCCATCTTGAAATAGAAACATTATAGAGTTTTCTGTTGGAACGTCTATACATATGGCAGGAACAAAATGTTCAAAGACATACATGTACATGTATACTGTCAGATCAGACAATCTTGTTGCTCATGCCTCCCTTTGATCTTCCTCAATGTACGTACATGTACATGTAGTCGCCTGGTGGCCGCCCCGGCTTGTAATCACAGCGTCACAACCTTCTAGACATTTTTCAGGTTAAAACTTTACTGTGCCCAACAGGTACCACATTGTGGAATTGTTCTGAAAAGACTAAAGAGAAGATCTTATGTACAGGAACACTGTCTGTGAGTGTCTTTATTACCTCCGTAATTATAATGGAGATGTTGTTGTCGGTCTGTCTGGAATGAAATGATAATGAATGAAACAAGAAATTCACCAAACTAAATATTTCATGTATGACTGAGATCTTCGTTTGTGTTTGTGTCTGAGTTTTCAAACCTATTTATATGTTCATTGTAGCGTGGCAGAAAGTGATCAATGGATACATAATGTTAATCAAAACTTATTATTTGCATAGATAAAGGACTACAAGAAACTAAATATTTCACAAAAGGATCTTCGAACTGTACAGTGTAATCGTGTTTATTTGGATCGAATGATTGTTAGTTCCGTTAGCATTGTATGCTCGAATATGTAAATGTACATGTACATTTAATGCCATTTTGATTTAGACATTTCTTTCAACATCTTTAAAACTGTGACTGACACATGAAACATATACATCGTGTGATTCTAAAACATTTCAAGTTGGATTTATGAAAATGCCAGCATTTTATTTCTTGAGTGCAAATCTTAAATTCTCTGGATCTATTTACAAAGTGCACGGTAGATAAAATAATGTTAAACTTTGTTTTGCTACATATCGCGCATGGCTGCGAGATTATGGCTCTAACAGTGTTGATACTTGGATGGCAAGTATACTTTTTAGGCACATTACTGATAAACACTGGCTCAAACAAGTGGCTTTATAGTACTTGTTAGACGTAGTTGATATACTCGAAAATAAGTTCATACACACTACACATAAGTCATGAAAAGCGTAAAATATCTGGATTAATAGGTATCTACAGCAACAACATGTCAAGACTCAATAGCATTTGTAACGTGAAAAGTTTGCAGTCGTTTAGGCCTTGCGAAGAATGATTACATTTAGTAGGTTTGATTTCTCGCGTGTTTATTTCGTTATTCATATCCTTCATTGTCATATCCCTGTTGTTGTTGTTGTTTTTGTTGTTTCTTGCTCTGTTTGGCGCGGATGGCTCTCTCCTGTTTCTGAAGGTAGTCCCGTAAGCCCACACTGCTGTAATACGGTTTGGTCACGCCGTCATTCCTCTCTTCGTCCTCACAGAAGCACAGGAAGATCGTATCGATTGCCATCTGTAGAGAGAGGGGGGCATTAATAAGCATCCATAGTGTTTCTAGCTTTAGCTTGTGAAAATACTGAAATACCACATTGGTGGGATATAACCCAAAGTTATTCTACTAGAATCGTTTTGCATGATTCTAGATGTGATAGAACATAGTTTCTTGTACAGAGTCTGTCCCTTACCTCGTACACGGTGAAGAAGCAGTGAGCGATGAGGAAGGCACCGATGGCCCCCAGCACGATGGGTACGGGGTAGTACGTCAGGTCAGTGCGGTTCTAGCAGGATAGACAAACCGATCGTTAGAGCACGCACACGAGATGATCAAAGGTTATCAAGTCTACATTTTCATATTAATCAATTTTATCAATTGATTCAAATAGCAAGACTTAGTACATCTTGACAGGTGGCAACCCATGTACATGTACATACTCATATCTCATGTCAAAACGCTAGAAATTCCACCAATATTGTACTATCGCATTCAAATTCCATACTACACAGTTTTTTAAGGTAGATTAGTATGTTGTTTGCAATAAAGTTTATACAGCATATTTAAAAGCCACTAATCATAAGAAGTTAAAAGTAATAAGCACGGCACTGTAGACTTTACTTTTTGGCGCACAGATACGACTGTATAGACTTTGCAGCTAGGATGAAATTAGGTATAGCTAAGAGATATGTAGAGTAATAGCACGTTCTTGTGATTATCATGCTTGCTTCTAAAGCTGTTGATATAAGGTCACCTGCAGGAGTTCGATCCCGACGACGACCGTCGCGGCGACCACGGCTACCTTCCCGAGGAAGAGACAGAAGTCCCCGATAGAGTTGAGGGCGGCGACCCGCAGGGCATTAGAGACCAGCACGGAGAAGGCACGCTGGGCGGACTTACAGAAGTTGTATCCGTAGATGGCTGCAAGAATAAGACAGGGTTAAGACACGCCGCTCGCGTATGCCAAGGCTATTGACAGGATTTCCCTACAAGATCGGTCTATTAATTGACTTGCTATTCATAATGCAGTCGCTTATTGTCCAAATTTAGCACATTAACACCTATGCGATGATTCCTTCCGGTCAATACAACGTTAACATGACTGCCCAGTTGCGGCCCAGATACCCACCTATCATGATGTAGGCGTTCCTGTTGATGAACTTCAGGACTTTCTCGAAGCACCAGAGGCAGCAGGACAGGCACCTCAGACAGAAGTCCGCTACTTCACCCGCCCGACCCTTCAGTCTGGAAAACAACATGTCAAGTGTCATCAGAGAAAGTGTGTAAAAATATAGAAATCCTACAATTCTGACCTCCCAGAAGCGTTTTAGGCTTTTTGTGTGATTGAAAATTTATTTAAACAACCGAGGAGATTCTATGACATACTTTGATCAAGACTATGGCAGAAACTGATTTTCAATTTTTCCCATTTCCCATGTCTTCAACCATTTGAAGGAGGGAAACAGATTAATCAGTTGTTTTAAAAACATATACATTTTCGCTTACCTGTTCTGTATGTAAGCCAGGATGATCCTGGCCAGCTGGACAAGCGCAATAATCATGGCCCCGAAGGCGACAGAGCCCAGGTGATATCTGTTAGCGGGGAAACAGAGATCGTAAGACATTGTGAGATCTCCACTCAAGCTAGCACCACTCACAAAACATTTAGTTGTCTAAATTGTATAGTATGATTGTAGGCATGAGTGTTACTTACTACTAAAGGTGTAGAACTTTCAAGACATGGGAGCTCATCGTGCCACATGTACCTTATGGGTACCTGGGTATGTCGATAGAATTTAGGGATTTTAACTAGATTTTCTTTCATGAACGGGGCAGAGAAAGTTTGAATCGTCTTAGAATAATCTTGTTTTCGAGGAAACCCGCGTTCTGAAATTGCAATCCTGAACAAGTACATAACTTAAGGTACAGATACAGGTCCGGAACTGTATTTACTGTACTTAAATCCTCGTACCTGTACCTGTATCTGTCACAAAACGTTCTTGAGATACACGTATCTAGCTACAGCCATTATAGTATCACTCCGAGTCGTTATTCCGGCTTACAAAACACGCGATATTTCCTCATTAAAGAGCATTGCGCACTGCCACTACCCCAACCTGCAGTTATCTTCTTACTTAAACGCATCGGAAACAGGAAGATTGTTACACTTATGTCATGACAGCCAGGGATTTAAGACCAGCTGTATGTAGGGTTACATGATATATTAGGATTACTTAGTACGTAAGCTGTACATTTTAACTAACCCAGCTTGCCAGCTGCCCTGGTTTAATCTATTCGAAGCGAAGGACATCAGGAATCAGGAAGAACGTCATAAAACCATATTCCAAAGATAACTGGAGCTTAAAAAGTATTATAAAGGTCTCGTTGGATTAAAGTACATTGTATTGCATTTCCTCTATCAGACATTTGCACACCATAAACATTTGCCTTTCCCCATATCGTCATGAGCATTCAGGTTTAAACTAACGGAAAGAGCACATCGCACAAAGCTCATAGTTGTCACTTTACTCATCAACGACTGCTCCACGAAATCCGATGATCATGTACAACAACATCTCGGAGTCGTACCCTCTACGGTTGGACAACAACTCCGAACCACTACCGTTCAACAGCAGCTCGGTCCCTCTATTGTTCAACAGCTTGAGCTACGGTTTGACGACAGCTCGGACCCTCTACGGTTCGAGAACACCTCGAACACTCCACAATTTGACGACGTGGTTCACTGCTACCATTGGCACCTCCGCCATACGAAGATGTCCTATCTTCAGGCCAGTGAAGCTTGCCCTTTAAATGACGGCGGCGTGTTAGGTAGTAAAGGGTGGCCTGTGTACATGTTTGGAGTCATGGGGGTTTTCATAATATTAGCCAATGTCACGGTCCTTTTCGGCATCATCGGAACTCGGAAGCTCCACAAGGCCTTATACCTGTACATCGCAAACCTCGCGACTGTAGACCTCCTGCCAGGGGTTCTCCTTATTTGTCTTGCTTTCGGACAGTTAGGTCGATATGGATTAATTGCTATGCTACACTTCTATATGTGTCTGTTGTTCACCCAGACGATGTCGGCATCAGCTCTATCTTTGTTATCTATAGATTGTTACATAGCTGTGAAGCACCCTATTTTCTTCCGCAACAATGCTTATAAGGCAAAACGGAATGCTTGTGTAGCAATCGTATGTTCGTGGATCGTCCTGTCGTTGTGCGTATTTTCATCTTCTATGGGCTGGAATTGTATTTATGATCGCTCCATCGTCGTAAAAAGCTGCATTATAGTAGTCCCCTTGAGTTATGCTATTTTCGTAATTTCCATAATTGCATCGCTATGTTTTGTCTTGATGTTCACAAACATCAGCGTTTTTGTACGCATCAAACGACGCAAAAAAACAAGACTGCGACAATTCAGAGGAGGTATACGTAAGACCCAACGCGCTGAAGATGGAGACAATCAGGACAGGGCTGGAGGAAGCGAAGGCCGAGATGGACAAGACGAAGCTCAGCGGAAAGCGGACTCCAGTGAAAGAAAAGCAAGGACAGTGATGATACTTGTGTCGCTGGCGTTCGTCGTCTGGTTACTAGGTTTTACAGCTCTTCCGTTTGCCGGAGTCTGCCTCCGGAACAGAGATTTATGCTCAGTTGCGACTTTCTCGAATTTGGTGCTTTTCATTATGACGATTAACTCGGCGCTCAACCCATTGGCAAACATAATCCGCATGGCCGACTTGAGAAATGCAATCCTGCAACAACTCACTTGTCCTTACCGTGGATGCTTAAACTGTTTGGGGAGATTTGGCCGGGAACAAACATGTACAGAACAGGAACAGAATGGCCCAAGCGACGGTGAAAATAGTTAGGACAAAAACAGAACAGATTGCTATATACAGCACTAGACGAGGCAACATTCTAGTCATCGTTCTGACAAGGGAGGGTTGCAGAAAAGAACATGGACTTGCAATTGGACACGAGCGAGTGGGAGTTTTTTTTTCAGTAATTAAGTCATTGTTTCCTTTATACTACCTGACGAAAGTGTTTTGATAATGATTAAAATGTGTGCTTTTTTGAGGAATAGAAGCCAATCATGTTTGTGTGACCAGCATATTATTATGTGTTATGTGCAAAAATATACGGGAATTATAATACAATTTTATCACAATTCATCTTGTACATGTCTTCCTTGTCATTTTATCGCTCAGTGCAATTGTGTTAAATCCCTACATCGTGAGCTGCAAGTTTCTCCCTGGTCAATGCAGTGAATATACTTAATACCCATTGATGCAATTTGTACACAAGTTACATTCCTTAGCGAAGTGCAAAACTTGTTTAGGTACAGATACAGGTCCTGACCTGTACCTAAAACCGTGCAACACGTTACCTGTACCTGTCACGAAAATATGCTGAGGTATTCAGGTCTACCTGCAGCCATTGTAGTATTATTCGTTATTCCTGTTCACGAAACACGCGAGATTTCCCCCATTAAAGATTATTGCTCACTGCCTACAACACAACCTGCCGTAATCTACTTAAAGTCATTAATGGGATTTATTGGGAAACAGGAAGATTGTGACACTAAAATCATGACAGGGCAGTCAAGACCAGCTGCATGTCAGATTATGTGAAACATTAGGATTACTTATAAAAAAAGCTTAACCCTAAACAGTACACCTGGGGTCCGCGCAGACCCCAGCACTATATATTCTGTAATATCTTATGATACTTCTAGCGCAAGCCGTTTAGCCGCTATCTGAGATCAAAGTTGGGCCTCAAAAGCCCCTCTCAATGGGTTTAAAAATCGGGTATTTCTTCTTGTCTTCTTTTCTTCACCAAAAAATAGAAAAAGTTCAAAATGTATGATTTTTGTATGTAATGTGGACACAGAGGTTCCCACATCAGTTTGCAAAACAATTGAGCTGGTAGCATGTTGATAATTTCTAAAAATTAGCAAAAAACTGTTCTGGGGTCCGCGCGGACCCCAGGTGTACAGATTAATCAGTCCGGGAAGGTGTTCTGTTTAGGGTTAATATAAAAATCCTGGGTGTAATTACAAGAAATGATCGTGGTTGTAGAAAAGTGCGAATAAACAGATCCAAAGGTCTAGCAGATTTCTATTAAGACGCTGTTGAAAATTTGTCTTTACGTCATGGAATCACGACCACTGAGCATTCCTAACAAATAACGTTAAATAATCTTGGTGAGTTCTCACCTGATCAGCCGTCCCATGGACTTGCTTATCGGCGACTGCATTTTCTTCTTGTCCCTGGGAAACACAAAAAGAGTCTGGGTCCAAATAGTCTCTTTGGAGGATCTCTTAGCTGTAAAGCGCAGCCCCTGTTTTGCGAACCAATAAAAAGAACTATCCAAAGTAAACAGTTCAGCAAAATTAAATGTCTACAAGAAATCTGAACGTACCTGGTGAAAAACCAAGTGGCCACGGCGCCGGCGATCGTCACGTGCTGACAGCCAATCAGAAACTGGAGCATCCACAGCCCGCCGAACACGTGATACCACACCAGTTTCTGGGGGGTGGAGGAGGCAGTAGACCGATTATGACTGTCCATCACAATTAGCAATTCAACCAATGACAAAATGGCAATTAGTGGTTCGACCAATGGGACACATTGGGCTGCATTTTCAGATACTTGCAATTACATGTTTTTATTTTGCAATTCTACGTTTTTATTGCGGTGACATATTTGTGCTAGTCCTCTGTGAGACCTCTCTCAAACTCTTCAAATTGTAACACGATTCTTACCTCCAGCAAAGAGTCACTTTGGAAAGTAACATATCCATTAGTCTGGACATTAGGGGTTCCTGTGAATGCGAAAGTAAAACAAATGTTTAGTACTAAAACGTGGTGCAGAAAGAAATTATATGTACCATACGTCATCGTCTTGAACTTTAATTTGGTTGCTTCGCAGCCATATTCGTCACATGTCCTAAGATTTTCTGTGACAGAACCAACCGTTGACAAGGAAGGATATAAGACAGCCTTTTCGGTAACACTAACAAGACAGCCAAATTTTGTACGACAAATGCACGATTATTTCATGACACAGTGCCCCCCCCCCTTTTGCGATCGTTAGAAGATCCCATGGCAAATGTGACCAGGCCCATGGGAAATAGTTACCTAGATCTGCTGCTGTTTGTGATATGTAAATTAAATGTTAAACAATATTGAATCATTTGTTTTGTCCGAAGGGTGAAACTAACCTGCTGTGTAGATGTAGAGGAAGATGACAACCCAGTATGCGCCAAACAACAGGGTCGCAATGGTGGTCTGAAACGACAAGTCAACAAGAAAATCAACTCATACGTACAGATGATATTCTAAGTCAATTACGCGTTACGCGAAATAGTACATCAAACAACAGTAACATAAAGTGCCCCTTACTCACCCAGACGGGCTGCAGGAGTATCAGGGGCATGCGGGCCACGGCCTTGCCTGCCTCTTGGAACAGTTGCACCACCTGTAACGTAACAAAAACATCTTGCTGGAAATACATCATATCGTATGTTGGAGCAGAAAATGATCTGAGACTTATCTATTTTGTGCCTTAAATAGCAGTGAAATGAAACTCACCAGGCCGATTCTCTTGCGCATGATGAGAAGGAGCAGAAGGACGATCACCTGTTGTGATAAAGAAATAGTATTCATCATGTACAGTACAGTTCCATACAGTATTCATTCCTTCAAAAAAGACAAAACAAATCTGACCTTTCCGTAACCTTTCTGCATATATAAACGTGTTGTGGATCTACCGTGTTGATTTCTGTAAACTTTACAAGTACTTAGATAAGATGTATTGACAAACGTACGGTGACGACCGTGGCGCATATTGCAGCGATGAGGAAAGTCTGGACGTTCTGTCCGTCGGCATCCACGGTCTTCTCGGAGTGCCAGCGGTACCACAGGTACCCCGTGCCGCCCAGGCTGCCTAGCACGAACACCACGATCGCCAGGTAGATGATGACGGCCGCAAAGAAACGCATCAGCGCTGTCATCACGATGGAGAACCCTGAAAGCAGCCAAGCGCATTGATTACACGCGTTTTTTTTTTCGCTTGCTAACGCCTCTGTGCACTGTTACGATGACACTAAGTGTGCATTCTTTCGCTTTTCTTTGTGAACCATTGTGCCAGCACAACTGATTTCAAACATACACAACATTTTTCTTAATATGGTATATTTTTGCTCATTTTGCAACTGTTTTGTACGATTTACAGTATGGTTGAAAACTTTTTTTTTGGAACGGCCGAAATTCATGCGCGCGCGGATGTCATCCATATAATCAAATCAACATGGCCTTAGCTTCAGAGGGCATTACAGAGATTACTTACCAAATCCGACGGCAACAAGGATGAGGACATCTTGCCATGAAAGTTCGATATCCTTCAGAATAGTCTAGAAACTACAAAAATACATGTTTTAATTTCTCTATATGCGTCTTGTAACAAGTCAGCGAAAGAAAAGTAAACAAAGACAGATGGGCACTAGTAATAACTTGATAAGTTGATATCTGTATTTTCCATACCTTCCATGTCTGTGCGCTGAAGACATCCGACACACTGCTCAGTACACCGTCCACTCCAGTCGTCAGACTGTCAGGAACACATCGGTTCAGAATCGGGGAACTGAAAACGTAACAGATAAATATAAAAAACTAGGCATCAACTAAGAAGTTTCAGAGTAGCCGGGCTAACCGATTGTGATATATTGATATATTGTTTTTTTTATTCATAGGGAAACAGAGAGAGAACAAATTCATAATAAATACGACTCCTAATATGAGGACCTTTGTTCTACATCATACTAGTATAGTGCCACTGAAAACAAAATAGTAATTCACCGATACAAGGCATTGTTTGCACAAGCTAGCACAAGCACAAGTACGAATATATACATTGATGTATCGACACTATATTATCAGTGATGAACATTTGGTCCTCACGCTTGTGGCACAGGAACGGTCGGACACGTCACTCCGTCGGCCACGTAGCTGGAGATGGGTACGTTATAGCGGCACAGGACCGTGGTGCCGTTGTGCGCCAGTGTCTGGATGTCCGCCACGCTCGTGATGTTCTCAGTCGGACAGCTCTTCACGCAAAGCCTGACGGTATCCGTGGAAGTACCGAAGATGGCGCCCACGTCTGTCAGCTCGTAGAAAAACAGGAACCTGGGCAGAGAGGATGGATGAACAGGAGGTGTTTTAGCTTCTTGTATCTAGACCCAATGTCAGACTGAGAACTGTCTGCTACAAAAATGTCAGGGAGACTGTGATGATTGGTTACCATAGTTCTGGGTATGTAAATGGCTCTCTTCAGTTAGAGCTGTATGTATGGCCACAAGCTTTTGGTAAGGATGTCCAAGCAGCGGGAGATTGTGTAACATATGTTACATACTATCGCTACTGTGCTCAAGAGTAGATATAGATGCCGTGGGTCATGGCACGATTTTATTGCAACGTTAAGGCAATATTGACATTATAATAAGAAGATTTGAACCTACTGTTTAGACGTCATGTCCTGTCCGGAGAGGGACACGTTCCCGATGGCGGTGTTCTGGACCCCACAGATGTTCCCCCAGCTGTCCATCCCGTACAGCAGGCGGAACATGTTCCCACCAATCAGCGCCAAGTACGTCACGTAACCCTGATGGCAGGGGAATTACGTCATGATGTACTAAAGTAACGTGGATGTTTTCTAAAAGTTCACTGTGAAATTTTGCCTCTAGAACACTGATTTAAACTGTCTAATGTTTCATGATATAAAATCATGCGGTATTTTACGCCGAGAAAGGTTAGACAGCCACTCAGCGGCCTTCTCGTGGAAAGGTGGAATTACTGTGTATCTTTTTTCTCTTTAACTCTTTAACTGGAATTGTCTAACGTTATATGATATTATATTTGATGTACTACTTGCTTCTCACCATTCCGCCCCAGAAGGCCAGGAACAGCAGTAGGAAGAAGACATCCCGGCAGCTCCTCTCTGACAGCGGCCCGTCAAAGTCATCCGGCACCTCCTGGTCCTCACCACTCTGGGCATGGGACATCGGGACAACGTTATACCACAAGACACAACAACTGCACAAGGTACAATGTATTACATCTAATGCTATATACCAGTAAACAACAAGCATGACATGAGACAAAGTATCTTAAAGACTATGTAGTATGGGATAAGAATGTGATTTTACATGCAGGATATCGATGCAAATATATGATTCAAAAGACAACAAGACAAGCAATGTCGTTCTGCTACATACTTAGATCTAACACAAGACAAAATTCAGATTGTTCCAATGATAAGAACTATATAGCTGGGAATCTGCCTTCTTAGCCTGCTCTACACTTATCGTGTCCCGTGGCTCAACATTTTGTTACATATAAATCTCTGCATTCCCGTTGTAGATGATTCATGATCAGCTGATATCGTTATATCGTAAATAGTTTCAAATATTTGCTGCATGACAAAATTAGCGCCTCTGGGTCGTGTGACCTTTACGTGCCGTTGATAGCTGAATCAAGGACGACGTGGTACCTCCATGTTAGTCATATCTTTTATTCTTCACAATTACAAAGACGTGCGTAGTTAGTCAGAATAGAGTGTGCCCATTGGTACTAATCACATTAGCTACGTCATTAAGCCGTTAAAATATACTTAATGATTACTTGGACCGTAATGAGGTGGGGAGGGGGGTTACTATGCTTTCATACTCGTAACTGCTGTAGAATATGTGGATTCTCTATCTAAAAGACAGCTATACATACTTGCGCATATGTGACAATTGTTCGTTAAAATGGGCTACAGATGTAGATTTTAGGGAAAGATTCATATCTACATGTTGATGAATTTAACTTCAGGATTCATGTCTATTTGTTTATGTGAATTAACTTAATATTCGACTGTCAGTATAAAGGTCATCATAACTGCGTCTTTTTGTTCAGATAGATAAGCAACGGCGGTATTACGCTGACCTTGGCTGTCTCATTATTCTGACAATCATGAAAATACAATGTAAGTTTGAACCGCATACATATCGCTGTTGTATATATATACGCAGCAAGTGTACAAAGTACAATTTTCCGATCGGTGGACATCATGCAGTGTGACATGCTTGAATTCATTATGCAAACTGGAAAAAAATCATGATACCGTTTTTATTTTCTTGAAACATATACATAAAAAAATCTTGGACTCTTTAAAAAACTGCCAGAGAGGTGATCATGAAAACATATAGGAACACGACAAAGGCCTGCTGTTACGTGTGTGAAAACAAAAGAAAAGTTGTCTGACGAGGTTTGGAACGTTCGCGCAGCCGCGGGCAGGCTTCTCACAACAACATGTATCCTTATGAACATGTTTCCAGCAGTGATTTATGTTTGAAAACAAAACTACAAAATCGATGTAGTTGACAGACAAGAAATCGACTTACCCTTGATACGGTCATGAAAAAAACAAGAAGCACGGAATTAAGCAGAGAAATTGTTTGAAGAACGAGGTTCGTCACACAAAGATATTTCGGCGCTGCGGTGTCCGGCACCGGTGCGACCTGTCTGTCACGGGAGGTGTCTTTACGTCATCCCGATGATTACAGATAATAACACATTTGGCTGCACAACTGGGCCATACCACTCCGCCATGGATACAATATGGCATCACTGACATGTAGGTCCAAACCATTTATGCGTAAGCCGAGACGCATTCACATTTGGTTACAGTTTCTACAGTTGCAAACCATCTCAAACAAAAGCAATTGTCATTTCTTCACGTAACTTTGATTAAGAATTGAGAAATCCAGGGCTACAGTGCACAGATTTGTTATGCATTCGTTGTCCCTTTGTTTCTTTACGATAGTGCTAAAATCATTTCGTAAACTAATAAATGCGACTATATTTGATAGTTTGATGAATATAAACAGCGGTGAATATTTGGTATTGTTACATTGAAGTGCAGAATATGCAGCTTTCTTGTTCGCCATAGATTTACCAACAAAACCGATCCACATTGCAAATTACATGTAAAATAGCACGATAAAATGGACACAAAAGAATATGGCTTCAGTACTTAAACCCTTTTATCCGAATTCTACATGTATATGTTTCCGTGCGTGTCGTCTTACCTTGACAGGTTTTACCCTGACTTGAGTGGCCTGTTTGCCACTACTGAGTCCCATTTGGACTCTTTAAACGTGCGTGCCGTCAGCGGCCTAAAGCGTGTGAAATGGCGGCTACTGCATCTAAACGTCACACATCGCGTGTTCACCAATTTTCAACAAATCATCATGAACTTCTCGCATTCAAACTACCAATGTTGGCCTAAACACAATGAAAAAATGATTCTAACCGCCAACCGTTCTAGTTCATACTATCATTGTTCTGACTACAACACAACAAACGATGTCTCTCATGCGTCATTTGCGCTGTCGTGCCATTAGTGTTGGCACGTTGCTATGGAGACGTGTGTGTTCTGGAACAACGACCGATAAGACGAAGACAGAGGGAGTGGAGAACATTCAGAACTTCAATTACAATGTATTTGAAATAAATCAGAAGAGATGTTTGTCAAAATGTCTTCTTTTGTCATTTTTGGCTGACAAGTTTAAACTGTATACATGTATACATGTAGGTATGGCATTGTTTAGGAATCAGGGCTTGCTTTGGTCGCTCACCGTATTAGCCGTCCATGTACGTATGACCAAGTCTGCTTGTAGAAAGACATCCAAGTATTGCATGATTATGTTAAGTTATTAACCAATGATTCGTACCCATACGAGTAATGTTGCAGCTGCAGTTTTATTTCAAACCTTCTTGCTAGAATTTTTAAAATTTAGCAGTTTGTAGTGTTCTCCATGTTAAGACTACCTAATTGGTCCAGTCGCTAATAGCCATGTTAGCATTGGTTGAGCTGCTAACACTAGTAGTAACAGAATGCAGAACACTCAACTTATCGAAGAGTTTGTCAACGATCCCACCTTGACGCGTATTGGTCTGACTCTGGTCTGGCTGGTACAGCTGGCTATGGCGTACGGCTGTCGACCCTGCCCGGTACAGCACCACATGGCTGCCGGCAGACCTACCGGTCCCGCCTAGCGGCCGGTAACACTGGTACCGTCTCTTGTCAGGCTAATATATATATCGGCCTCTTTCTTCGGTCCAACAGATCTAGAATTTTCTCCCTAATTTTGACCTATTTTTCACGTGGGTCTCGCAGTTCTCAAACTGTAAGCTTACCTATACATCCCGGATAATTTGCGGTGGTATGAGTCAGAAAGAAAGAAATGACGATATTTTGCTTGAGCGTCATAATATATAAACCGAACATGTTCTCGAACACCTTGCAATTGTTTGCCTATAGTTTATCTTTGGAAAAAAGGACGAATCCGGACTATTGTGTCGACTACTATAGCATTTTTCATACATACAGAATAATGTTCTAGAACAAGCGGCATACTTTTTTTTAATTGTATATATAAGCTTGACTTAGCTTCAAAGCCTCTGTCTTTGGATGTTAATCTCATGCATATGTCTTGTTGGACATTCTATATTTTCCAAAATTTGTATCACCAATATTTTCAATTGCGGCAGTTGGAAGGTTCCCGACACCAAGTTTCAGTTCCCCAAAAGAAAAAAAAAACATTGCTCGAGAGCAAGGTATCTAGAACTAGATGAAAATACTTAACAGGCAGATAGATTACAGTCAAATTTTCAAGAGAAAAAAATCCTGCCTCGACCCGGGATTGAACCAGGGACCTTTAGATCTCCAATTTGTCAAGCCGGTCTATCGGCTTCCGGGACTTCAGTCTAACGCTCTCCCAACTGAGCTATCGAGGCACATGAAAAATAATTGTAGTATTAACGTCTACCTCCCATCTTATGACGACGTCACCTTTTCCTAGTTTGTTAGCTTACCTGCCCTCGCACCACAAACCGATTCCGAAGCCCCGTATGACCCCAAAGAAATGCAAAATAAAAGCAAAAACAACAAATTTGACGGATATGCTTTCTCATTGGCCGCACCGCTAATTGCTGTCCTTTCATTGGTTGAACGGCTAATTGTGATGGACAGTCAGGATCGGTCTTGTCTCTCACCTTGAACGGTTTGACTCTGTTGTCCCCGTGTACCTCACTACCTCCACAGCACGACATGGCGTTAGTCACGTGGTGTCAGTACCAGCCCTTATCATCATGGTTCTCTTGTACTGAAGAGGAAAGGCATGAAAGAGAAATACATCAGTACAACAATGCATATAGTATGCTGAACGGCGCGACGTTTTGGTGTTTTATACATTTTGAGGTATATGCATTGATAATTAATAGTTAATAGGAAGCCAGGTTCGATGAGTCAACCCAAACAGTGAATAACGAGTAATAAGCTTTTGTTTTGTTTTACGTTTTGGAAAGAAGGTGCAGGTAAAAAGGTTATCAATTGTTACATCAAGCTAGGACTTATACGTGAAAGTGCATGTATCTACGCGAAAAGTGATCACATCTTTGTCATTACAACTGTCCTAATATGGGCTATTGCAAATTTTTGTTGCATGCAGGGTGAACAGATTTTGCTAGGTGTCGCCATTCAGAGAGTTAGAGTCACTGTAACCACCTGTTGTGGGGGCGGATCGTACATGCATGCAGCTAGAACCAATAATTCTTCTCGTATACTACCTCTGCCACAAATATAAGATCGATCTACTATAATCAGCAAGAACATTCAAAGACAACCCGCTAACCCGCCGTTTAGTTATACATTCCACATGCATTGAATAGGAATGTAAACAATGGCCGAGCACCATCATGCCATCATGAACTGAATAAACAGTAGAACACCGCTTTAGAACGATTATATATTCCTACTGTACTTGGTCCTGCACGCAGCAAGCTATGACGCACATATATAGGTGCCCTCGTGTTCCCAAACTCAGTTGTGTGTAAAACAAATTTTCTGAACTCCCGCCTGAGGTACAGTAACATTGTAATCAATTTTTTGAGAGTAAAAAAACAGGAAGAGATATTCGAGATATATGGCTAACCTTAACAACGAAATGCAGGTGAGTGGCTAAGAAAGGGTCAGTTATATGCTGTCTACTAGGTTAACAGAGTAGACAAAGTGGCCACGCATGACGATCTCCAGGTTGATTTGCTGATCTTGTGGCGTCTTTCTATTCTCGTCCTTCCCATATCTATGTCGGAAACTAGTGTTATTATTGCCGTCGCTACGCCTGAAGTACATGCATATGTGAGCATGTATAAAACAATGGGAAAATCGCTAAGCAAACAAGTACGCAGGTACATATACGAAAAGATCGGTATTTTATAAGGGAATAATCGCCTATCCATCCCCTTGTATTTTTTATAAAGAAACCTTTTTCCTCGAGCACCCAAAAACCTAATTGCTAATCAGAAAACCTCTAAGCCCCGTGGGGTACGTTGTACGTGAGGCCCGTATCGATATCTGTGACAACACTGCACAAGTATGGCTTACTGAAGCTTGTAGTTAACAATTGTGGATGCTATGTAAATACCTGCTTTTGGCATATGTAAACACGTATTGTATTACTGCTGCGGGCACCTTGATTGTTCAGTGGTGGTATGTAAGTCAGAAGGTATGAAAAAGGCCGCTGCAATTTTGCTCTCCGCGCCGCTTCAACAGTATGTGTAATGTTATATGAATCTCTGTATTCCGTTGTTAACATTTCTTCCCCCTAGAGTTTCACAGTCGGTGACGCAACGGTTAGAGCGTTGGACTTGGGAAAAATAGGTCCCGGGTTCGATATCGTGGCCAGACATTGTGCCCTTGGAAAAGGCACTTTACACGACTTCCCCACTTGTACGGTGGAGTGTGCCAAAAGAACACTACGGATTTGGTGCGCCAATGTGTCAACATCAGCACATTTGCCACCGAGAGCCGTTAAAAAAGAGGTTCACAGTGCATCTGTTCTTTCCACACGCACCTAGCCTTCTTGTCAGGCTCTGGGGTTGCCTCCCGAAAACTCGCGAAAACAGAAAACGGCACATAATAAGCCCTTCAAAAGCCCATCTGTCAGAAAACGTCATGATCTTCCGCCCAACATCTGCTTGGAGATTACAATAATTATCATTTTATTGTCTCATGTCTCACCCTACCACATACACGTGACACATATAGCTTTGATGTGTAGAAATCGAAGGGATTGTTGATTGTTGTATTGTATGTTTGGAACAAACCAAAAGAAAATCTAGAATTTTCTATAAGATGTCGGAAATTATAGTACTGCCCCTAAGGGAAATTATAGAAAATTTAGGTCGGAAAATGGCATGAGTCAAACTAGATGTGACAGGGGAACAATAGCTTTAGTGGCAGGCCTGATAACTCTGCATTATTTATAACCATATATCTACCATGGTAACTGATGCAATTGCCTGACTGTAGATTGTTTTTGGTGGAGACTTTGCAAACCCTTTGATCAGAAGGTAGTGGTCTCCGTAGCTACAATTATTTCGGATACGGCACGTCGGTGAATAATTCAACAGTTCTGAGAAGGCAGGTTTTCATCCTGGGTTCGCACAGTATTTAATTGGATATACACAGGGGGCACAATATGGCGTTGTTCTTGCCGGTGGGAGGTCGTATGGCGAATCAAATGCACGCCCTGTACGTACACTGCAGCTTCTGGTATAATGACCATACTATGAAAGGGCGATCAATGAATTGTATAATTTACTGATCTAAACGACAACAGTGTAGCATAGTCAGTAATGCCATGGCAATATATCCCAAGGAGAACATGCAAGAAACACAAATAAAACGGCTCAATTCAACTTCCGTAGCAATTGTTGCTCTCAAAGCAGGTTCTATCTAACTATTCAATAGAACCATCTTGGTCGTCTAAAGTGGTAAACTTTACCTTTGGTACATGTATGTCCACCTCGCTTCAAATCTTGATTCAAAGTTTTTTTTTCTGTAGTTTGTGGTTGATCTTATGCAAGTCGCTGTACTCTTTAACTAGGTATCTGCGTCAATAAAGACTGTATTTCAACGATTGAAAACAACAGAAAAACGCCTTGCATATATATATCAGTAGTCAAACGTAACAAATGTCCCTGGCATGACTGTAAAGGGAAGTGAGGCCTGCCTTCAGCGTGACAGTTGACGCACAGAAGCACACCGAGGTTAGAAACGGAGCGCATATTAATCTCCATAGCCGATTCCCGCTAGTTTGGGGCATAGATACGAACAATTTTCGGTCTATTTTTATGGTATAATCCCTTACAACCATAGCAGAGAAAATATGAGTTTTCTGTCCGCTGAAGTTCTAACAGGTGGTGCCGGGGTGGAGGAAGTTCATTCCTGCCCTGAGGCAGTTCTGTTAGTCTGTGTACTCCTAGTCTTGATGTCTGTCCATTTGTGACCATTGTAAGTCTGTGACTGTCTCCACGTTGCTG